GTTAATTTAAATTAAAAAATGTGAGAAATTTTATACCGTAGTGTATTTTAAAAAATACTATTAGACGAATTTATTATTATTATTATTATTATTATTATTATTATTTTACTTTTATCCTATCAAGGCGCTCCCTCCCAAATTGTGCACAACATTTTCTTGGGCACTTGACTCGGCTTATTAGCTAAATAAACTGGAACTCAATCATATATCGAACGAGCCAAACAAAGCTCGAGCCGAGCCAAACTCACAAATATCTCTCTTCGTTTAACATCTCTAATTCCAATATGATGTTATTACTAGTGTCTTAACTTTGTTAGGCTTCACTCTCATTCACTGTACATTTAATTATCTACAGTTGAAATCATAACATCACATTTAATTACATGCAAGATGACATTACATTTCTTACTTGTCAACTACAAAAGAAGTGCATTACTTTAGGATCCTAAAATACAAACATATCATCTGAAATTGCATCTCCCACTCAAAAAGAGCATCCAAAAATTTCAGCTAATTTACAAAAATCTTCAGCTGTTCGTCAACACTTCAAAATTGTGAGACCTCAAAGTTCATCATCTGAACTAACAAAATCTAACTCAATCATATTTGTGTTATTTTCTTTGTTATCTTGTGTTGGGGCCTTTTTTTGATCCATTTTCATTTTCTTGGCAACTGGTTCTTGAGTTGGCCTGGACCTGAGCAACCGGCACAAAGATCTTTTTTTTTATATTTTTTATCTTTGAGCAACTGATAATCAATCAATACATAAATAAGAAAAAGAAAGATAAACTAAAAAAATAATAATAATAATAACCTGGCATCAGTTCTACCCATTGGCTTGTGTGGGAGATTAGCTTTTCTGTTTGTCACTTGAGGATCCATTTTCCCTGTTATGCAATTACACATAACAAATTAACAAATAAGAGGAAATTCATAGATTAACAAAAAGTTCATCAACAGTCACGGCCTACCTGCAATGTGATTTAAAAACCGTATTCCTTGAGAATGTACGTTTGTTGTGACTTTATCTGCTTTGCTGTATGACCAATAAAGTTTAGACTTGAGATTTAGAAATTGCAAGGTGAAACTATAGCTTTTTTTAGCTAAAATATCAAAGATTACAAGAATCTAGCTGGGAGGTTTGGTCAATTACAAAAATATAACAGCAGCCTTTCAAATTTACAAAAATTTCACTTAAGCTAACAAAATGTTCCCCTGAGGTTAACAAATACCCTCATCTTGATGATGTAGCTTGTAAGAATCAACTATATCAGTCAGTGCTTAAACTATTATCAAGCTCTTCAATCCAATCTTCTGCAATTACTTAACCATTAAGGCAAAAGAGTGAAGCATAAGTAAGAAAACTAGAAAGTGTTTCCGAATGGGGTAAACTTTTGCCATAATGAAGCATGCCCTACAAACTTGTCTTGTCAATGGAAATGGCTTAATTACGCTTCATGTAGAGAACTATCGAGTTTGATGAGTTAACACAGACCTTAATGCCTTCTTTAATCCTTCAACAGACAATACTTTTACGGGCCGAGTGGACTTTGCTAAGTTCTTTTTGTCATCTGTAGGTTTAACGACATATATTCTTTCTGACTTGAGATAGTTTTTGAAGCCCGTGCTTACATTCCTACAAGTGAAGTTGAAAATGTTGTTAGCAGAAGAACTGAAATAAGAAAAATTATCCGCCACAATAATGGATAACAATCACCTACCCGCCTTTGAGCTCTGCCCTTGTAGAAGTATATCTCGTGGATGAATTCTTTCCACACACAAAAAATAAATAAATAAATAAATAAATGTAAATCAATGAGATGATGTTATTAAGTGGGTTAATTTGGAAAATACAAATTTAAGTTTGACGGATGCACACGAGCAGAACCTTATGGTAGTCACAATATTTCCTTTGACGTCTGCAGATGGGAATAAAAAGAAGGAAGAAAAAAAAGAAAATCATTGGTTATTTAAAAGGCAATAAAAAACACATCAAGTTTAACAGTTAGAAATATATGACATGACAACCAAATGAAAATAACAGCTCCTACTGAAACTAAAAATGCAAAGGATCTGAAAACCAACACACTCCCTTGTTTGATAGTCCATGAACAGCAATGGAATCACATAAGTTCAATTACAATTCAAATCTATTGAAGTGCATAGTGATGGTGTGATGCTAATTCATTAAAAGAAATTCACAGCAAATGTTCTTACTTGTTGATGACTCTTGTGCAAGCCACTCCATCTTTCCCTTTTCCTTGACAAAACGCAAAATCCGCTGATGTACCCAGCTTCAGAATGTGTTTGGCTGTATACACACTCAGAGTGAATCCATTCCCCTGAAATAAACCCACAAAAAAAAAAACAAA